CCCCCAAGTCCTTCTCTGCAGGGCAGCTCTCAAGGACCACTCCCTTCCAGTCTGTATGGATGCCTGGGATTCCTCTGGCCCAAGTGCAGAACTTTGCACTTTGCCATGTTGAACCTCATCAGGTTCACTTGGGCCCACCTTTCTAACCTGTCGAGATCCCTCTGAATGCCATCCCTTCCTTCTACTGTGTCATAAACCAAAGAGTTTTAAAATTCTATCATACGTCAGATAACAAACAATCATCTTACTCAGTCTCTATATAAGAGGGTAACACAAGACATTATAGGATTGATGAGAATGACATTGTGAATTTTGTTTAGCATTCACCAAGAGACTTTAATTGATATATCGAAAAGATATGTGTGAAATCAGTTGAAAAAAGTGTTAATGGTCCATCAGAGAAACCAAATAAAAAACACAACACAAAAACAACCAAACAAAAAAAATAAAAATGATATGAGTATCTAATGTGAGCATTTTGTAGTTTCTATGCACTTTATCATTATGATTCTGAAAACTTTATTCATCTGCCATCTAACCCCCAACGTGCTGCAACTGTGGCCTTATAGGACCTGGAGGTGACTAGGGCTCTACTGCTCCCTCTGTAGACAAATGTTTTATTTTCTGCTAAGACCAAAAATCTTGAGCTTCAGAGATGGAGGATTTCTGTGCTGAAGTTTCTAAGGAGGGCTGGGCCTGTGTTGGCAGGACCTAAATTGTGTTAGCTAAGCAGATCTGTGCCCTTTTCCCCCAGTAACTTGGTGGCTCACATGGATACCGTGTTTTCTGTTCCTCATCCTGGGACCTGAGGTACTTCCTATTAAGTTGTGGGTCCCATTTGGAAGCCTGCAAGTCACATTAGCAACACTTCCTTTGTATTATTCTCACTTTTGTGTTCATCTGCCCTAGAGAGGAACGGCACAGCAGCAACAGATACCTTCCTTCATAAAATTCGCTATGAAAGAATCATCATTTTGGCAAAAAGACTTCTGTTCAGAGCATATGCACGCATTTAATTTGTGTGCATGTGCCCTTTAAAAGATAAATCACCTGTTTATCTACAGTAGTTAGGTGACACCTATTAAATTCATATTACAGATAAGGAATTGAAATGATGGCACAATCACTTAACCTCATGGAAAAAAAATCTTTCCAACATAGTAACATTTCCAACCTGTGGCAGACAAAATCAAAGATTTGAACCCAGCCTTTCCAAACCAGAGATAGATGCTGTAGCTTTGTGAACTTGGTGGAATTTTCCTTTGTGGGGTATCAGGTTTTTTTATTATTATTATTTTTGTCTTGTAACTGCATTTGAACAGATGCACTGTCTATAGAAATGCACCACCTATACAGCTTTCCCCAGGTGAGGAAATCTGGAATGACTAGACAGCATTTCCCATGTTGAATTTTCCCATTTATTTTATTCTATGCCTACCAGTCATAACTGCAGAGGAAATCATAGTAGACAAATTTTTTTTTTTCCCCCATGCATTCTGCCTGAGACTTTTCAATAAAATTTGTTCAATTAAACTAAATATTTGTAAGCAATTAACACATTTACCTGCTGATGTTTTTAACAGCTTTTGGGGGTACTTTTTTTTAGTTTCAGTGTATGAAACAAATTCTGTAAGAAGATCGCATGGACATACAGATTGAATTCTGCAAATAAGGTGAGTAAATGTTTCAGTTATTGGCACTTCTACCACCTTACTCACATAAAGTACAATTTTACTTGCAGACAATCTGTTGAACCATGTCTGTTGATCTTGCAGAAAATCAATAGAACTATTTGCGGTGCTAAGTAATTTAAGTGTGGCTGAACCTGACTTCATAGCAGCATTTGGGCACACTTCAGAAGTGCATATTTCATCCAAAATACCACAAAATGACTTGCCAGCACTATATCAGACAAAGTCCTTGAAAAACTTGCTTTCCAAATCCTAAGCAACAAAATTAGTATTAGGTCAGAGGTCTTGTGGCCTTCCATTTGTCATTTATAAATTCTCTGATATAAGCTACGTGGACAGTAATTAAGCAGCTTCAGCCTGGCAAACCAAATTCAGAGATTCTGTAGTGCCCTGAATTATCTCCTAATGTTACAGCCATATCTAAATTGTTCCAATATTATGGCCGTATCTAAACCTACTTATAGGGGAAATTGAAGGTGGAGAGAAAAGCACTTTGCCTAATACACAGGACTATAATATTTTGTTCCTGTGCACATAAATTAAAATGGCCTCAACCAGGAAAAATAATTCTAAGCTTGCTTTGGAATTCTTCACACAATCTTAAAAATAGCTTCAGCATAAAGAGCCTGGGGCACCTCTTGGGTGCTTATCCCTCCAGAGACTTCAAACTAAGTGGATAAGCAACCAAGAAATGTTAGAGATAACTTGTTACCAACCATAAATTGTTTTTTACACAACTTCATCTTACTAACAATATATTACTAACAATTACTAACAATATGGCTTTGATGGAGGTGCTCTCAGTGCTGGAGGAAGGATGCTGGAGCAGCAATAACATCTTCATGTTATTGTGGGAATGCGTCCTAATTACCCTTTTCCTTGCAGTCTTCAGGTTGGTTTATTTCTGATAGTAAATGCTCTTTCTATATGTACTGCATGCCTGTGCACTGGGTGCTAGTAACACCAGTTTTGGAAGAACGGACAGAAAAGACAGAGACACTATAGTCTCTTTTTTATAACATCCTGAAGCAAAAGGAAATTTTCTAGCAGTTCAGCACAGACCAATTTTCTAGCAGCTAAGGCAGAGCAATTAGCACAAACTAGCCAAAGACTCAACTACTATGGAAATGATATTGAAGACAAGAGATATTTTGCTTTGCCTTAGGACTATTAGCATGTAGAGCTCAAAAACTGCTGGAAACACCTAATTGTTGTTTATAGATGTTTTTAAGAAGAGATGGTAAGAATACAGATTTGTAGATAGGTTGGCAGTAAAAGCCAAATAAAGAGAAGATTGATTGGAAATCGTAGATTATATTGGACACTTGGATTAGGTAGAAATCACCCTAATGTGCTGTAAAGAAAGCAACAAGAATTAGGGATTTGAAATAGCACAAGGAATGTCTTAGAGTGCTAGTATTTTCTTCCTAGGAACAAACTGCTTTAAAATCCCACTATAAATGACTGTTCATTAGTCTATCAATGTGTATAATGGCTCTCAAAATCATAATAAGAATTAATAATAGCTCAAAAAGCAGAAAGGGATGTTAATTTCTCACTCATGAATATTGATGCAGTAGAGAAGAGTCTCATCCTGACATACTTTTGAAGTCCATTTCACAAGTCTATTATTGGTTACCTGTTATTTTTACTATAAAAATCCTCCCACTGAGCTTCCAAAAGACTTCCTATCATCTGGAGTTGAATGCTAGCATGAAAGTGAGAACAGAAGATAGCATGATCATGGTGTCACGATGAGGGTCTTCAAGACACAACAGCATTGGCTGAGCCACAGCGTACACCAAAGGGCAGTGAGAATGAATGAGAAGAGGGCAGGAAGACTATTTAGCTGCAGAAAACCAGTGTGATGGTGGACTATCTGGAACAGGGAGTAAAAAGGCAGAGTACACAAAATAAATGCAGAACGTGCTTAAGAGACCTTGTTCATGTACCTCATGTACCACATCCACTAGGGGCACTGCTTCTTCTTTCCAAAGAGGTAGTGGATGGAGAACGACCTGAATGCTATGTTCAATGGTTATGTTTCAAAAGAGCATCCTGTCCTAACATGCCACAGAAATGAGCTGAGCAGTAAGCAGTTCTTTTCTTATTTCGCCCTTCTGTTAGCACTTTGGAGACTACACAATGGGAACGTAAGTTGGAGACAGTTCCTTCTCTGTCTACTTACAGTATGCCTTGAAGAAAGAAGTGCACTGTCAAGAGCAAACTTCCAGGTAACGTATTTCCTTACCTTGCATTAACTGCACTGCTTCTTTCTATAACCGAGAAGGGACGGATCTTATGAGATACATTTAACCTCATTATATCTGATACTGGGTCTTGAAAAGCTTTAGTTGAACTAAAGACTCTTATGAATATAAAATCAAAGTGAGCTGTACATTAAGGACTTCATGCTCTCTGACAGCTGCGCATGTGTGCACGCAGCTCTCATTAACAGTAATGACAAATATGCATGCCCATCATTCAGAAAACAGATCTCTAAGTACATTATTGTTGTTGTTTTTCCTGAAGATTTTTCTCTGTTGGACCTTTAATTAAGCTCCTAGGGGGCTTTTCCCCCTTAAGCTATCTTGTCCCAGCCCCCAGTTTTCAAGGAGTAAAGCCCCAAATAACTCTGTTTTTGAATTAAATTTTTCCAAGCTGCTACAGTTTCAGAAAATGCACCTGCAGATATTAAATACAGAGAGGGATTGCAGCACACAAACCAAAGACACATAACAAAATAAATGCCTTGAACTTTGACAATACTTTCGCTGCCTGCTGCCTTATATTTAAGAAAAACAATCCCACAAATGTAGATATGAAAATGAGAACGAATGTTTCTGCATTCTTTTTGTGATCACTGTAAGGCAAGAGTCTGCAACCTTGTGAAACAAAACACATGCATTTCACTCAGATTAACATAAAGACAGCCCCTTCTAACATGATTCACCATTATTACTCCCTCTCTTGTGTTTGGGGATATATGGATTATCAGCCTTGCATATTTTGAATACGTACACGTTTTAATTCCTTTCCTAAACCATTTTAGGCACTGAAGTTAAACTGCATTTATGAAATTTATAGATTAATAATTTGTTGTTTTGCTTTGTTTTTTTTTCTTTTCTCTAGCTAAATAACTACATGCCATAGGAGGCAAAACGCAAGCAAAAACAATAAAAAGACAGGATCATGGATCACGGAAGGTAAGCCAGATTTGAGATGCCTCTGTACTTCAATTTTTAAGTTCATTATTATTTTTATATAACAGGCTATTTCACTAGCTTCTACTGTATCTGATGTACTTACTTATCGCCTCCACAAACTGTTCAAAGAAGCAGTATGGGAACAGCGGCTCAGGCAGCTCTCTGAAAAACATCTTGAGTGCTCCGGTGACAACGTGGATGTCCTCCCACTGGCTGTCGTCCAAATTCAGCTTCTCTTCTGGGAAAACACGAGGAGAAATGGAACAACTGGTTTTAATGAAACAATTACAAGACACTAATTATTATGTTAATGTTTGCCTACTATCATCAGCAACCGTTAACAGCCTTCTGCACCTAGAGGTTTGGTGCTGTGCATGTTTTTTTTTTTTCCCCCTTTTTTTTTTTCTGTAGGAAGAGAACATTTTCAATGGAATACCATCTGTAGGAATGCAGCTAACAAAAAAACAAGAGACACAAAGAGACAGTACCATTGACACAGTATGTCAGATACGTTTATTCCCATAATGCATCGGTATGAAAATTAGCATCACCGCTCAACATGATTCAAAGCTATTTGGTTTTGAGGCCGAGGGGCTAAGAGTTGCCAATGATGGCCGGCTCAAGGGACCGGCCTAAAGGCCTTGCTGAGCCAACAGGAGACATATGCTAAACATGGCAATAGAAAATGAGTTATTGCTTTACATGTGTTAGCCTTGCTATGTACAAGGGAATAATGGGGAAACGCTTTTCTCCTTTTTTTTTGCCTGAATGTAATGTCAGCAAGGAATAGAGTACTGTGAGAGAAAGGATATTAATTCCTTCTTACTGCTTCAAAAATATTTTGTTTGGTTTTCATCTCTGGGAGGAAGATTTGCCCAGCAACAATATTAGACAGACCCCTGTTGGCCTACCTAGGCTATGCAAAGCTGTCAGAAATGATAACACACTAAAGACAAACCACAAGTGCTTACAAAACTGTTTTACAAACAAAAAAAAAAATGTTTTCTTTTGAAGCTTGGCTGAGCTAAAGAATTTAAATATTAAAGAACCTAAATGCTAAAATAGTTTCTAATAAGAAATAAAAGATTGAATGATTATTCTATTTTCTCTCCTCTTTCTTTTTCTTCTAGTGGAGTGATACTATTAGAACAGAATAAACAATGAGATGATAATCCACATAAAACTCACAGAAAGTGTAAATCCTTATTAGATCAAATTAAAATGACATACACTTTCTTCCAGTCCTGCTACTCCAAAAATGGAGTTTGCTTTTTATATATGTGCTGTGATTCTCATTTTTAGAAAATTTCTTTCTGAATGCAAATCAAGGGCCAACTACTGCACAAATTTAATTTGAAGCAACAGAATCCTGAAATGTTTTACTGAATGTCACTGAATTTTCATGTTTAGCAATTCAGTTGGCTTCGAGAGCAGCCTCTTTAGTGAACTGTTGTTAAACAAAATGGTACAATTATTGGAGACACATGGACACCCACAACTCCAGATCCCTGGTACTTCAGTGCAATAGTTTTTCTCACTATAGAGCTCGCTTTTGGACAGAAAAATCTCATTCAGAACGGAGTCATCTTTCGACTTTTGTGTAATAAACATTATTTAATGCTCTTTAAATTTCTCCATTTGGGAAAAGTTTGCAAATAAAGAAATGGACTCAATTCCTTAATTTGGAGAAATGCGAGACAAAAGAGGAACAAAGGCACGCTTGTGCACTTTATTTAGTAGTCTTGGTTTCAGGCCCTTTTTTCTTTTTCTCCGTTGCATTACCTCCATCATAAAAGTAATGATTTGATCTCAAGTGAGTTATCAGAGGGGATCTTCTTTAGACTCTGAGATCATATTTGATTGATCGTATTTCAACAATTAGCCTTTTCTTTTGCCCACACACTATTGAACTAGATCGACAGCAACTTAGCAGGCCAGCTTTAAACAGTCAACTGTTAACAATAGCATCAAAAAGAGAGACCTGATGGGGTTTACTGTCACTTTAAAGAACAGGGTGGGTTTTCACATTGTTGAAATCTGTCAGATATTTTGAAATGTCCCTCTCACTATGGTGCCACACCCCCTGCGTGCCCTTATAATAAAATTGGTTTTACTCCTGATTAAATCATTTTCTCCCTACCCACTACCATACTTCTCATAATGGACCTGTGTGCTCTACAGCTGGTGTTCTTCCCATGGTACCAATTCTTACTTTATCTTTTAAGCACTTTGCTGCTAAGATCTCATGCAGAGTGCTTATGTTTTGTTAAGAGCTTCATTCTTAGAGAAATAGCTTAACACATGTTCTAAAAATGTTGTACAACTTATTGCTTAAAACACATTTAGAAAATGTATAAGTACTGTAGCTTTGGCACAGAACTTTAAGTAGAAACCTTTAAAAAAAAAAAAAAGCACTTGTTTTTGCCATGCATTTGTCTTAAATGTCTAAAGTGGAATGCTTGACTTCTAAGGCTTTGCAAAGACTTATCTTACCAGATTTTTGCACCATTTCCAGCTCTTCAAGGAAACGTGTTAGGAATGTATCATCGTGAAAGCAAAGGGTGTCAATTTTCCCTCTAGCAATAAGAGAGTTTTTAAAAATGTTTGCTAGGAGGAACAAATGCCAAGTCAAAAATAAATAAAAAAAAAAAAAAAGGAGAGAAAAATAGAAGTCCATTCAGTCTAAGACTCATTTGGTTCCCACTGGTTGGGATCGCTCACATACCATGGCAATAGGGCCATAAGCACACACACATATTTCAGGCTAGGTTTAAGAGGAGGACCTGACTTCTTGGCTTTACTCAGACATATTTCTTATTGGGGTGTTTTGCTTACACAAAGATTAAGTCTCAAATCTGGTATTTAAACTTGACAGTCAAGGACTGCTTTCAGTCAGGAGATACTGTATCTGGGAAGACGCTCAAAATCTCACAGTCCTAAAAATTTGCTTTAACTTGTCAGTAGTATTTGATTAGTTCAACCATCACTGCCAGTTGATATCATATATCTTAGATACAGACACAAATATGCCCAGAAAATCCCGTAAAATTTATGCTAATACTTTGGATGAAAATTTAAAGACCACACTAAGGAAAAAAAAAAAAAAAAATAGTGGGGGCCCCTTATAAGGTTTTTAATTTAAAAAAAAAAAAAAAAAAAATCAATATACATTTGTGAAGAGAGCATGGGTTTTAGTATGCTATTATTTTTAGTAAATCAGTCTTTTCAGCAGTCCATGTTTTTAATGGCAATTGTAACATCTGCCGTAGTACCAAGAAAGATTTCACCTCTGGGTTATGCATGCCACCATACAAAGTTGTCCTCATGCAAAAAGGAAGAAGATAATCCATGGAAGGATTGACTGAAAGCAAAACAAAATGCAAAAAAAACAAGGCAAGCATTGTAGAAAGGTCAATTTTAGAAGAAAATGGATGCGGTTCCTTTAAACATACGTCCTGCCCTGTATGGAGACCTGTATCCAAGAGCAAAGCATAATCACCTGAGAACACCACTGAATTTTACTTATTTATTCATTTTTCCTTTAATATGATTGATACAAGTACGTCCCAGGCATATACTGCCATTTGCTCACGCTGCCATTAAATCCCAGAGCACCACATTCAGGAGTTCTGTATTTTCCTGCATGTGTTCTCACACCAAACCACACAGAAAGTAATCTGCAAACACTGGAATGGGCACCCAGACACAACATCCACTGCCTCTGCACTCCCCCATTTTGGCATGTGGGGACCAGCCCCAGTGGATGAAGCCTCAGAGCACTGGAGTCTCCATCCCAGGAGTGGTGTATATTCTGGCTGAGATCTCCCCAAGAGAAAGCCCTGCACAGCACTGTTCAGCAATTCACAAAGTTCTTCTCACTTCAAAGCCTTTGCAGAAGAGCTCTGGGTGTGCACAATGCATTCCCAGTTGGCTGAAAGCTTGGGAAACTGGCTGGGCTCATTCATCCCGACAGCGTATTACTGGTGGGAGCTCAGAACCAGAGTCCTATGGCTGAGGGAGGATAAGTCCTTTTTCACCACACCAGGGAAAGATAAACTGTCCAGAGTCATTCCTCTTCCCCTTGAGATTTAAATACCACTTTTTTCCCTCTTTTAATGGGCATATTTTTCATTAATTTGCTGCTTACTCATGTTCTTCCATATCCAAGAAAAGAACATACTCAAGGAGATCTGATACAGTTGCATAAATGATCAGCACACTACTTCAGCACTAAGTCCTCATGTGAGGGCTGTTCTCATGACTGACAACACAAACACTAATTCATGCACTGAAAGGTATTTGCGTTTGCAGCTGTACCTGCATATTATAAGCCAGAACCTCTCTGGTCACTAGTTCAGGGACATAGCAGACTTCTGCAACAACGCACCTTAAAATTTTTGTCACAGAGGTGCAAACAGCTCCTTTCAAGGTGATGGGCACTCCATTCAGGGCAGCAGCAGAGCAAAGAGATGTCTGGAGACACAGCAGATAGACAGCTGAGGGGTGGAGAAGGCTCCCACCCATCACATGGCAAGGAACTCACCCCTTGGCGCTGCAGCACATGATGCTTCACTTCCCCCTCCAGTAAATCCTGGATTGACACTGCATGTTATACACACACTCCAAAGTACATACACTCCCTTGAAATTTGATTAAATAGTACAGCAAAAGCCTCAGTTCATACAGAATAACACTTCCCTCATTCAGCCTGGATTCTGGGAGCTCTCTCACAGCTAAGCAGCTCCTCGTCTCTCCCTTGCTAGGTTTCAGAGGTCACTGTCCTGCCTGCAGTCAAGGTATGGTGCTTTGTTTCCAAGAGTGTCTTAACAAAACAAAGAAATTGACAAATAAGCAAATTACTATATATACAATGCACTTCTGAGTAGTTCTGGTGCATCCACCCAAAGATACCAAATTATCAAGGATATAGCCAGCAAAACAAAACTCTCACATATTCCTCTTTCTGTGGCGGAAGAAAATGGAACACCCTTTTAAACAGAAAATGTATGCCATGAGGTTATAATGCCTAAGCACTTAGTTAATATCAGAGTGCCCATTTGCATGGTGCCAAGGCGCAGATTACTGAGCAACTTCAGCTAGAAAGCAGAACATCTCTATGAGCACCTCGAGTGCTGTTTACTCCAGCTCACAGCAGTGACAGTTCACTGCCCTGGGGGCATGCTGGAACAACCCAGTACTGCTAACTTAAATCCCAGCCTGTGCCAGAAAAATAAAAGA